AGGAAACAAATTATCACCACTTTGTTCCGAGGAAACCGTTGAGGTGGTCCTGGGGACAACGGTTTTAATAAAGCGGAGAGTGGTCCATAAGGACAACCTAAGATAGATTAAGAAAAAATAATATTAACCATTTTCCTTTTGTTCCTTTTAGGCTAAACCACGTCGCCATATTCCTCCTGACAGTACTGACCACGAGCGCGACTTCCCGACTTAGTGACTATTCACACGCTGATTACATACCGGTGACCGACGGGGACGTAACTATCTGGGACGAGTACGGATACCTTCGACACACAGCTAATATAACATTTTACGAGACTTATGCGGACGAAACATCATCATTAACGACAAAGTTCCCAAAGTACATTAGTAGATACAATTAAAATACACCATAGACAGGGTCGTAGTTTTAACATGTTAGGATCCGCACAAAAAGTAACAGCAGGGACTCCAAACTTTGAAGACTGAGAACAAACACAATTGCAGTTAATACAGGCTGAAAAAAATCAAATAGAGATCAATAGCAAGATTCAAACACAATTTAATCTTCTGTCCCATCAAGTAAACTCCATTAGCAAGTCAAACAAGATAGACTCCGACCACCTGTACGAGACAGTTTTTGCAAAAAATAGAGCAGTAATAACTGAATTGAAAAACTTAATTACATCTATAACTTTAGCAAATATAAATTTGTTGAGTCCGGTTATTTTAGATAACATTGATGTGAAAGAGATAACGAATGAACACCTTACAAATGTCAGTGTGGCTGACGTGCTGGCGGTGTCTAAAGTAAAGATATTTCAGAATAATAACCTTAACTTCCCAAAACCGAAAGTAGTTTGCAAAAAATTAATGATTTATCCCGTTCAGCACAATAACGTAATATTAGATTTAGATAAACACAACACTATAGCTGACTGCGGGGAGCGAGTTCTGGCGGTCTCTAACTGCGACATAGCCGTAGGAACAACCTTCTGCAAAACCTTGAAGACTTCAACATGCGCTTAACAGCTGATGACCGGCGTTCTCGCTCACTGCGACACAAAATCCAGCCATCTTTAGCCAATAGTTATGGTAGACGAAGGCATGCTTATTATCAGCGACGCTGCTGCAAACATAACGGGCGGCAATACTCATCAAAACATTGCCGGCACGTTTCTTATAACCTTCGACGACCAAATAAGCCTGAACTGTACCCCATACGTAAATCATCATGGGGTTCTGAAGAAGACACCAGCTGTGCCAGCCATGGCAAAAATCAAGCTGCAAGCTGCTTTCAGAAGTCCTTGGAAAGACCGAGCCTTAACTTAAAACTGGGAGGACTTAACCCGGTCAACGATTTGGGGCCAACACCGGATGCACGCGTAAGCGGGAATCCGACCGGTGAAATCCGATCCGGCCCATGCAAGCGCTGATTGGTCACGAGTCTCAGCGTCAACAAAGTTCGGCCAGCAACAGAGTTGGGGGCCGTCAGCGGCGGCTGCCCAGAAGTGCGGCATCAGCATCTTGGCCGAACGATGGACTGGCGAGCCGCAGTTTCATTTTGAATTATACTTTTAGTTTCTAAACAGAGCTCAAAGCTGCCCAAACGGGTTACAAATATATAAATTAAAATATAATAAAATCACTTATGTTATAATTTATATAGTCGTCCGATTTAGATAAAATTAAATTCAAAATTCAAAACTAATTAAAAAATCGTATTTCCAAGGTTAGGATGTTATATGTTAAAAACAAGGAAGAACGCTATAGTCGAGTACCTCGACTATCATTTGGCATTTTTTTTTTGGGTCAATCGATAGGTATTGATGAGAATTACATTTCAGTTAAAATTTTTATTCTAGCATCAAAACTGTAGGAGCCACAGTTTTGGGCGGTTTGTGGGCGTTAGAGTGGGCGTCCGTCCGTTTCTACACAAACTAGTCTCTCAGTTTTAAAGCTATCGGGCTGAAAATTTCCCAAAAGTCTTAATTTTTTTGCAGTTAATATATAAGTCGGAACCAGCCGAATCGGACAACTACATTTTATAGCTCCCATAGAAAAATTCGGAAAAAAATATTTTTGTGGTGTTTTTCAACACATAATCTCCTACGCTTGGAAATAACATTTTTTAATTAGTTCTGAATTTCGGATTTAATTTTGTCAAAAGCGGACGACTATATCATATAACTGCAATAGAATCGATCGGGAAATTGGTTAACATATAACCTCCTACGCTTGGAAATAAAATCTTTAATTAGTTCTGAACTTCAAATTTAATTTTATCAAAGTCGGACGATTGGTGAAAAAATAATATGAAACGAATTATGGCTTGGTTGTTTTTCGACATATTATCTTATACTATTGAGAATATCATTTTTTCTATTTTTAAATTTTATAATTATAAATGCAAAGGTATACAAACTTCGGCTTGCCTAAGCCAACTTTCTTTGTTGTTTTTAAATGGAAACTGGTACTGAATCAAATTTAAAGATACTAGAAGCACAACTTTTCTTGAAACATATAAAAGTTAATCAAATCATTTTATTGGCTCATCATCATGTTTTACAAACTAAAAATGCTTTGTACACATTCAGCAAGTTTAAAGTCAAATCATTTACAATATATCCGGGCAACAATACACTGCCGATAGACAACGCAGTTATAGGTTAAATACCAAATGTTCTGTCCTATTGTATGGTTAAAAACCGCTCATACTCAGGAAACCGATCCTTAGACCCATTTCAATTTGAACATTTTAAAATTCAACGCTTTAACCTATTGATAAATGGAGGTCAAGTTCCTTCCCAGGCTCTGGAGTTCGATTACTCGAACGTTTAAAAGGTCCAATGCTCAAGAGGTTATAATATGCTTTTTAGATCATGTGAAACTAAACATTACGATCGTGGACAAAAAATTACCAAGGAAATGTTTGATTCAAACAGTTTTATATTAGCCTTTGATTTAACTGCTGATCAATCAACTTCAACTATACGTTCAAATGTAATCTCTAAGGTACTACAAGAATCGAACGAAGATTTACGAAAGCACTTGATAAAGCAATTACTTGTTTGGTATACTGTGAATTCGATGTAATGATTGATATTGATAAGCATAAAAATATTCGAACACTCTTTTAAAATGAATACTTTACAAAGGAGTTTTCCCCTCGGATAGGTTACCAAAAACTATTAATTGCGAATACCGACATTTCAGATCAACCTGGAATTCATTGGTTCCATTTTACTTTGATAGTCGTAGGTCAGCGGAAATTTTCGATTCTAGTCAATATCCCCAGAAAAAAGAATTTTTTAAATTTTTAAAATCTATCGCTTATAAATGTTTATTTAATATGCAACAACTACATGCATATTGTAAGCTGTACCGTCTTATTAAAACTAAAAAGAAAACACTAGATTTTTTAAAAGAAAATTCAAGAAAAACGACTGTTCATTTAATAAAAATTAATGATAAAAATGTTTAAGAACGATTTAAAAAAATAGAAAACATAGTTATTTAAGTAAAATCAATTCATTATAATTACGGTTGTGGAGCAATACGTTTGATTAACTTAAAATATTTAATCATTAGACTAAGGGCTTCCTCGTTCAGTGCAGGCAGCATATGACACTGACATGTGTCTGGTCCAGATGAGGCATCATCGTCGCTCCAGGGACAAAGTTTATAATGGAATCCAAACTTCGCATGGATCAACTCTTTTCCTCTAAATCATCCAAAGTAGCTTTTAGGAACTCCATTCTGAAAAGCTTGCCTTCAAATTGCATCAAGAATAGTTTTATCTGTTGAGCGTACATTTTTTAGAAAAAGTATTTCTTTTTCAGACTGATTCAAGACTGTTGTTGGATTTTAGAACTCAGCCACTTATATTAAAGAATTTTATTTACTTTACTTATTTACTGTTAAAAATGCTATTTGAGCACAACTGTATCTGTTCAGATCTTTTCTTTTATATACCATATGAGTTATTTCATTCTCATTAAATTTCCTAAATTATGTCTTTGTAGAAAATTTGTTCACATAACTTTTAGGTAGAAATATCCAAACATCTTTGTCGTTCTTATCAGTTAAGTGCGGAGTTTTTTTGTTCCATATGGTGTCTTATACTCAAATCCAATACATCGATTTTAAATTTTTGTATAGCCAATCACAGGCTTCACGTCCTTTAAAGTCTCTAAGAATCAAATTATCAAACTTACCTAGATCTTCCTTCCCACTACTCGACTGAAAAAGGCAAAAAATTACGATGACCGCCGATACAGTAATTATTATACCACACCACTAAAAAAAAAAAAATTTGGTGTCATTGAAAAGAATTTTGCAAGCCTTTCTAATGGTATAATTTTCTCTGCTGAAAAATAAAAACTGCACATTTTAAACAAAACTCACAAAATTAAAATGTCACACCTTCGCGCACATGCAGTCATGAATAAGTAACTCGAGGATAGCAAGTAAGATTCGTATTCGTGAGTACGCACGTTCACTTTCTCCTGCTCATTTCCAGAAGACAATGAGGGGTCACAATATTTGAAATGCAATAAAACGGGAGGATTCCGTGAGATACTAAACACACTGGTTATGGGATGTGTATATGCCTGCAATTAAAAAGAACTCATTCAAAATACATTTAAAACCGCCGAAAAAACCTCCCCAACCGCTTTTAATAGTTACTCGCTCAGAATTTTATTTACTTTACTTATTTACTGTTAAAAATGCTATTTGAGCACAACTGTATCTGTTCAGATCTTTTCTTTTATATACCATATGAGTTATTTCATTCTCATTTAATTTCCTAAATTATGTCTTTGTAGAAAATTTGTTCACATAACTTTTAGGTAGAAATATCCAAACATCTTTGTCGTTCTTATCAGTTAAGTGCGGAGTTTTTTTGTTCCATATGGTGTCTTATACTCAAATCCAATACATCGATTTTAAATTTTTGTATAGCCAATCACAGGCTTCACGTCCTTTAAAGTCTCTAAGAATCAAATTATCAAACTTACCTAGATCTTCCTTCCCACTACTCGACTGAAAAAGGCAAAAAATTACGACGACCGCCGATACAGTAATTATTATACCACACCACTAAAAAAAAAAAAATTTGGTGTCATTGAAAAGAATTTTGCAAGCCTTTCTAATGGTATAATTTTCTCTGCTGAAAAATAAAAACTGCACATTTTAAACAAAACTCACAAAATTAAAATGTCACACCTTCGCGCACATGCAGTCATGAATAAGTAACTCGAGGATAGCAAGTAAGATTCGTATTCGTGAGTACGCACGTTCACTTTCTCCTGCTCATTTTCAGAAGACAATGAGGGGTCACAATATTTGAAATGCAATAAAACGGGAGGATTCCGTGAGATACTAAACACACTGGTTATGGGATGTGTATATGCCTGCAATTAAAAAGAACTCATTCAAAATACATTTAAAACCGCCGAAAAAACCTCCCCAACCGCTTTTAATAGTTACTCGCTCAGACTCAAACGGCATCCTGTGCCGAGATCACGGGAATTGGTAATACGTCCCATATTGCCTACGTGTCCTCAGTCTTCATCCTTCGGTCGATAACAGGTCAGTTACCTAAACGAAATGTAAACATTAAGTCCTGTAAATAACAGGCCGGATGAAAAGTCTAAGGGTTATTCTTTGCAGATCCTAATTTCATCAAGTCGGGTCGCAACTAATGCGTCCGGACATACGCAAAGGGACGGTTTTAGAACCAATTGCACAAAACACAAAGCTGGGCTGGATAGATTTTGGACCAGCTGAAGCAGCCCAGACTACTTCAATCTCCATTCGTTGTAATTTGGCAAACCTAAACAACATTGTACAGAGGTTTTTCGATTTGGATCAGGTTTCCACGACAAGACAACTCAGCGCAGAGGAGAAATGGTGTGAAGATCATTTTCAACAAACTCAGAAAGGACGTTGTTTGAACCCACACAGGTGTTGGGCCGGTCAAGGTAAATCACATTAAGCCGTTTCCACGCCCTGGAATCAGCCAGATTTTAGTCAACAGTATGCCAGCACTATTTAAGAGTACTTTGATCTAAAGCTGATAAAAGAGGTACAAAGCTGTGAAGAAGAACACCCTAGGATCAACGCTCAAAGGCAACTCTCAATCTCGGCGTGCACCGTTCCACATCATGCTGTGATCAAAGAAGACAATCTAACTACAAAGATGCGCGTGCAAAACGTCTAACGGGAGGTCTTTGAATGATATTTTATGTACGGGTCCCGCCCTACAAAACGATCTTGGAGGAGTCATACTCAACTGGCGTCTCCATCGGTATGTCTTCGTGGTTGATATTACGAAAATGTATCGCTGAATAGATATGCACGAAGAAGATGCCCAGTATCAGCGAATTTTCTGGCGCGATGAAAAAGGGCTCATTAAGGAATATTTTTTGACTACAGTAACGTTTGGCACTGCCTGGCACCCTTCACGGCGATTCGATTCATACATCAGATTGCGTCCGACGAGCGCGAACGCTATTCTCTGGCCGAGTAGGTCCTTCAAAGAGGAATCTATGTGGACGATGCTCAAACAGGACATGAGACCACCGACGGAGCTCTAAAAATTCGAAATGATGTCTTCGCAGCTCTGAAATCTGGGCATCTTGGCATCCAACCATCCAGATATCTTAGAAAGCATCCCAACTACAGATCTCTCTAACAGTAGCATTTTTGAGATAGACAATAAGGACTCCATTAAAACTTTAGGGTTGTATTGGCATCCAAACAAAGATGGTTTTGGCTTTCATTTTAAGTTTTCTCTCAATCCTATATTCACCAAACGTTCTATACTATCCACATCTAAGGCATGTCTCGACTTTGCAACTACACATGTTTTGTGACGGATCATCTATGGCGTATGCAGCGTGCGCTTATCTCCGAGCTAGTTGTACGGATGGTTCCGTGAAGGTTATCTTATTAGTAGCCCGCAGTCGAGTCACACCTGTTAAGCCGCTAACATTTCCGAGAGTTGAGTTATCCGGAGCTGTGCTGTGTACACAATTAGCCGAGTGGATTATCAATCAACTTCAAGCATCATACACACCATATCCTTACACTACTGATCGGATGCAATGAGCGGTGACCCCAAACGTTGGAAGACATTTGTGTCGAATAGAAATGAAGCAATCCTGGAGGCAAGTTCGCCCTCGCAAGAAAACCCGGCAGATTGTGCTACACGCGGCCTCACCCCATTCCAGCTGAAGCATCACACGTATTGGTGGATCGGACCACATTAGGTGCATCTTTCAGAGGAGCACTGGTCAGTCAATCCAATTCTGTCCCCAAGATCAGAACTCATTTCCGGAGAGCAATCCTTAAAGCGTATCGGAGCCCACATTTGTATAGAAGTGCAACCGTTTATCAAATCATATTCCTCCTATAACAAACTTGTATTCATTACAGCCTACGTCAAACCATTCATTTATAATACTCGTCACAAAAAAGCGGATAGACTCGCTGGACCTATTCAGGTATCTGAATTCCCACAGGCTTTGTTTGCACTGGTGCGGATGGTTTAACAATAACTGTTTTCGGAAGAGTTATCAAGACTACGATCCAATACATTTCTATCCAAACATAACAAACTCAGCCAGCTTTTACCGTTTCTCGACGACAGGGGCTCATGAGAGTTAAAGGCAGACTTAATAATGCTTCCAAAGGCTCACCACTTGACGGTTTTGGTTATAAGGAACGCTCATCACAACACCTTGCATGGCTGTGTGCAACTAATTTTATCACAGGCAGTAAAATTGATTCTGCGACGGTGCGTAACGTGTTGCAAACACTGCCCGTCACCATTAAGCAAAGGGAAGAAGAAGTGTGTGCAGTGAGTGAAGGTGCGGGTTCCAGCGCTCCGCTGAAAATGTCGGTCAGCAGCGTTCACCTGCAGCGGCGCGACAGCACGCGGTTTCCAGCGGGCGGCCCAGGGACTCACCTGTCTCCGCACATGAAGGCAAACCCACCGTGAGTTTCAGAAGGCATCTAGGCTGACATCGAGATTCCTCGGGAACCAAGCGGCAGCAAGAAACACTCTCTTGAGTGATTCTAGATGGCGGGTAAATATTGTTGTTGCACCTTCTCTCCAGCCTCCCACGCTTTGTGCTGCATTACGCTCAGCTGGCCTGAGCAGTGTTGCACAACGTCAGCAGATCCAGCTGATCGCAGGGCAAGCTGGAAAATGCTCCCTGCCATGATATATATAGATGTCGTGTTGGTGCGGCACCCAGCGTAGGAATGTACTGCCTACATTTGTGCGTTGCTGCTAGCTGACGACTGCTACCCGCTACGGGTTGCACTTGTCGATCGGCGCTCAGCAGTAGCATACATCTAAGGGCACTGCTCGAACTCCTTGGCAAGGAGTCCGGGACCGAACGAGTGACACCACTTCTGCACGGCAGAGGTCATCCTGGTGCCAAAGGTCAAGGAGCAGACTGATTGCCAACCCCCCCGCTAACGCGGAACACCGTGAAACGGTGCTCTGGCGACCGAGTAGAGGCGGTATAACCTCCATCGGAAAGTCGTGGGGAAATCCAAGGCCACCGGTGGAAACCTCGATCCGCACACACCGATCTTATCGCCAAAAACCCACGTAGCGTCTGACCCATACTGGGCGGCTGCGTGGTCTGCGTCTGTGCCATATTGGCCGGCATTCACGTCACCTGGCAGCAGGTATAAAATGTATATAAAAACAACCTGGCAGTAGGTTTAAAATGCAAGCAACCTGGCAGTAGGTATAAAATAGAACAAATGAAAGGAATGTCGACAAAAAACGATACTACTCCAGGTGGCAACCACACAAGTAGAAATCCACCCGTGGGAACCCCCACGGCCAGGGCACGGATTCTGGAGGCCCTAAATCCCATTCCCAACAACAAACCTGGCGAGGCGGTGGCAAACTTGGCCGTCTCGACAGTGAATGCACCAAGTTTAAGTAGGGGGAAGGACAACAAAGGCACGGAAGCATCCGGAGCGTTCAAGAGCAGCTCGAAGCTTCTTAGGTCACCAGTCCTGGAAAAACCCGCGGGCCAGCCGTCCCCGCGGGAAGATAAGATGCAGGACGCGGCCAAGCGCCAAAGAGACCCAGGCAGCCCAACCGGTGGGCAAAGAACAGCCTCTGCTAAGAGGCCCAAAGCGGACCAGGAGCTCACTAGCCCAGAACAGCTCGCGGAGATTGGAGCGCTTCTCGACGAAGTCCTCCACCTCACGAGCGTAATGCAGGTGCGTCACATCAATGTGACCATGAAAGCGATGTTCTCGAGGATGAAGTCCCTCCAAGAAGGTGCAGTGATCTCCTTCAACCAAGTTGAAGACTCCCACCAGCAAAATGAGCCCACGGAGTGCAACAAATGCAAAGGCCCTCTCCTAAACAGCGAGAGCAAGGAACGACAGACTCCGGTTTGTCTTTAAAAGGACAATGCCGCTCAAACGGAGCTCTGGCGAAACGCGACACAAGGCCCCACGGTCACCAGCGCGGAGCCATCGGGATCCCAGCAGAAAAAGAGGAGAAATTCACAAGAGGAGCATGCCAAAGACCGAGGCCCCCGACAAAACCGCCTGGAGAAAGGCTGCTCCAAAAAAGCGGGCGCGAAAGCCTCACCGCCCGGACGCCCTTATAGTGGAAGCGAATGGCAACGCCTACAGCGAAGTCCTACCGATGGTCACCCGTAGGGACGACGGCAAGCTGCAATACCTCAGAACCCGAGTAAACAAGGTCAGGCGCACAGCAAACCGGAACCTTCTTCTGAAGCTCAACAGAAGCGAGGAAACCAGCACGGAGGCAATAAAAGAGAGCCTTGAGGCGGTTCTAGGAGAAGCGACTGCGGTGCGAGCGCTATCCGAAAGCGCGAGGACAAAGACGGTGGTGATTAGCGACATTGACCCGCTAGTTGAGGCCGAAGATGTCACCAAAGCTCTGGTCGACCAATTAGCCGTGAACGCCGAATCGGTTAAATTGAGGAGTCTACGTCCATCATACAGAGACACTCAGACGGCAGTGGTTGGACTGCCCAGCAAAGACGCAGAAGCGGTTCTCTGTAAGGGTAAAATCAGCTACGATGGTCTATCTGTAAAGTGAAGGACAGGGACTCGCAGCCCAGGTGCTACAAGTGCCTGGAGATTGGGCACATTGCTATAAAGTGCCATATCCAAAGTGGACAGAAGCGGGTGCTGCATTAAGTGCGGCAAGACGGGGCACAAAATCGCTCAATGTACCAACGAGAGCGTATGCTATTTATGCACCGAAGGAGGACCGAAGTCGAGGAACCACCAAGGAGGAAGCATGCGGTGTCCTCACGCTGCAAAAAGAGCCGTAGCCAAACCCCGCGAATGGAAATGATCCAGATAAACCTAAATCACTGCCGGGCTGCGCAGGACCTACTCCTGCAGTCAGCGAGGGAATGTAAGGCGGATCTGGCTGTCATCAGCGAACCTTACAAAGTCAAAGACGACGGCGAATGGATAACGGACACATCGGGCAAGGCCGCGTTATGGCTGTGCAAAAGAAACGGTACATCTTTTCTGAACGTGCACAAGGGCTCGGGTTTCGTCCGAGCTCGTATAGGCGA